AATAACTTTCATATGTAACATACAGCAGTATTAATTATATTAATCGTGTTGTACATTACATCCCTAGTATTTATTTATCTTATAACTGTCTGTTTCTGTCTTTTGACAACCTTCATCCAGTTCCCCCTCAGCATACTTGTTTATTACTCACTTTTTTATTGTCTGAGTCCCCTGACTAAAATGTGAGTTCTTTCAGGAGAGGATTTTACCTGTTTTATTCACTTCCATCTTCCTGGTGCTAAAAACAACATCTAACATGTATTAGATGTTCCAGGTATTTCTGTTGAATGAAGGATGAGAAGTCTCTGTGTTTCTTCCTCCAGAAAAATCTGCTTAAGTTTCCCCACACTCACCTCCCTTCGGGATATCCTTCACCTCCCCAGCCTTTGCAGGTCTCTCTCATCCATTTTTCCTGCTACATCTCAAATGCTATGAAGACCCCTCTCCCTGCCCACCCACCACCCACATTACTTCTTGTTGCATCCTTTCTCCCCTAAACTGTTAGAGTCCTATTATCCCTGCTCTCCCTATTGCCAACTAAGTGATCATAGATAAAATGATTTAATAGCTCTGTGCCTCAGCTTTCATATCTAAAAATGGGAGAAAACAGAAACAGGAAATGATTACAGCTGCTGTCAGGACCAAGTGGGAAAATCTGTGCCAAACACTTGAAAGAGCCTGAACATTACTAAATGCTAAATATTCATAATGACCCTTATTCTCACACATTTGAACACTTAACAAAATGCTACCTTTTCTTTTAAAAATCTCAAGTGTGTTTATTTTCTGTTTCTTCACACAGTGTCTAGTTTGTATCATGCGTACTTATTAGGCAGATCAGTAAACTGTTGTCTAATTCAACTTAATAAAGGAAAAGAGAAAGAGAGATGTTGACCAAATAAGTGAGGTATTTTATTAACACAATGGTATTTACCTTATATTCTTGAAATTCTGATGAAGAAAGCTCAGTGCTTAAAATTCTGTACCTTTACCAATAAATTCAACGTAGATTCCTACTTATTCTCAGATACTGCCTGTTTTTAAGTAAACAGGCTTCAAATTTGTCACAGTCTTGGTCACTTTTCTATCTCCTGAGGAATATTTTATCAGTATTGGCTAGAAAGCAACTGGAAATCTGGTCTTCCGTTTGACTCTACCTAAATGGTAACTCATAGATCCATTGGATTGTTGCCCAGACAATAGAAAATAAAATCAACAAAAAATAAGGCTATGATACTAACTTCCATCTTATAGAAATGTAAGTGAATAAGCAGATGAACTTAATAAATACTAGGTGAAAAGGGGCAAATTCCACCAGCACACATTTGTTGGACTTAATGAGGAATGTGTCGTTGGCTTCCCCTTTCAATCCTATAGAATTCTAACAAATTCAGCTTCTCCAACTGGCAAGTACTTAGTGTTGATGTCATGTTGCCTGTCCCCGGACAGCTGAGCTCAGCAGTTCCAGTTCCATTTTTCCTTTCCAAAGAATAGCTAAAGAAACATTCTTTGGACAAGTGTAATATGTTTGCTACATTTCAAGACATTTTGTTCACATTTTCCTCTATAGCTCTGTTTATTGCTTCATGATTTCTGTAGATTTGATTTATTGGAGGCCAGGTGCACATTTTAATAAAAAGAACAATGTTCAAACTAGCCCAGAGCAGTCCAAAGGAGGATCATGGGTCTGATGTTCCAGAAGAGAAATTTTCACTTCATGTGTGTACAGAGTTTAGTCCACCATTCAGCCTTGACTGATTACTTGGTTTTCTGTTTAAGGTTTTCCCTCCTCCTCCTTCTTCTTCTCCTTTTTCTTCTTCTCCATCTTCTTTTTCTATTCCCCCTCCTCCCCATCTCCTCCTTTTCTCTTTCTTCCCCTCCTCTCCTCTCCTTCTTCTTCCTGACTAGTAAGCAGACAATGTATTCCATTGATACAAAGGGTCATTCTTTGACAAATCCTTAAAAAAAAATAGAGGCCATAATATACTTAACTCTGTAACTTTATTCTACTGACAACATATCATTGACATCCCTCTAGGTCAGTTGCTAAAATCTAGTTCATTATTTTTAATACCAGCAAAATATTCTATAGTATCGATATATTATAATTTTTCAACCAATCTATTGATGAATAATAAGGTTGCTTTTAGCTTTATTTTCCACTAACAAGATAAAAATTAATATTTTTGTACGTATGCCTTTACATACGGGTACTTTTGGTTCTATAGGGTGGATTTAAAAAAGTAAGAGCAACGGATCAAAAGATACATGTGTATTTATAGTCATATAGATCTACATATAGATCTCTATAGTAACATTTTCCTATACAAAAATATAGATACTGACATAATATTTACTTTATCTTTTTTTATTCCATCAGCCTTGAGTTTCTAATGAAAACATTTTCTAACATTTTCAAAAACAACAAAAAATTATACTTAGCCTTACCCAGAAAACTTCAACTTAGAAATGAACTATGTCCCAAATCACACCCCTGTTAATTGTCACCATGTTAAATCAGGGATAAATTTCTATTTTTTTATCATTCTATCTTCTTATTTTTTTCTCAAACTTATGGCCAAATAGCATGTGAGCTTTGTCCATCACAAAAATGACCATTATTAGTGGACAATTGTATTTGGTAACATCAGTAGAACAAAGCATTACTAATCACATTTCTGTTTAGATCATTCTACAAAGACTCAGTTGTTTCTGAAATTTTATAAGCCAAATCTATCAAATTTTCTTTGCTTATTTTCAAATATAGTCTAGATATTGAGCCAGCAAAAAAAATTTTTTGAATTAGTGCTATAATATACAGTATTCATCATGGGCCCATTCTGAAATAAAGGTGAGTTTTTTCCCTAATCTTTGGCTCTTAACCAATGGTTTACTGGCCAGTCTCTCAAGTAAAAGTTTTTTGACATATACAGACAGAAAATGTGTCCACCTGATGCAGAATATTTTTTAATAAGAAATATAAGACAAACTCTGGGATCTAGAAAAGACTATTTCTTTTGTATTCATTGATGATCAACATATATTATTTCATTTAATTCAAAACAACCTATGAGATAAGTATTTATAGATGAGGAAACTGAGACTCAAAAAAGGTTAAATAACTTGCTCAGTGCCTCACAGCAAGTAGGTAGGAAAGCCCAGATTTGACTCCATTATCTCTCTGATTTTGAGTCCAAACTCTGAACAGGAACATGTCTGCAGTTCTGTATTTAACTTGATGCATTGGCCATCATCCAACCTTTTAGTTTTTTTAAAAAACCTTTTTTTCGTCTCTTGGTTTTAACTTACATTTCAGTCTGAGTTGGCCAGCAGTCAAGGGTAATATAGACATGAAGGTTTCACTGGCTACAGTATTTCTACACACCTGCCATGGAATTCCAACTTAATGTGAGCTAAACCCTCTGGTCCACTCTTGGAGAGGGAGAGGGATATGTCAGGGTCAGCTGAGCTGTTCCTTCTTCTGAGGTTAACATTTTTCCCAGAAGCTCTGAGGATGGTTGGTGGCAGGGCGATTTTCCAACAAACATTTTTCAGCCTCAGACTTCATCCTCCTATTACTGAAGATATTTTCTACCCTAGCATGTTAAAACTACTCAGTAAAAACTAAATCAATTTCATATGACCTACTTGCTGGATGAACACTTTTCTCTCTTCTCTCTTTTAAGATTTATTTGGGGAACTAATACCATTTTTCTTTGAGATTTCCAAAAGGCACACTGGAAAGTACCTCAAATCTCTACTGCTTAATAAGCTGTTAATGGGGGTGGAGGACAGTGACATTCCAATCATTATTGCATGAAATTAAGATCCTGCTTGAATAATTTGTTCATTGATAATTCTAGAAATTTTTTGACAGTGGAGAATTTAAGCAAGATACACAACATTCTAAGAGACAGAACATTCTATCACTCGGATTGCAGTGAAATACACAGCCTCCTGTAGTTTAATGTGTAAAACTGTAGAGAGGGTTTTTTTCTTTTTTTTTTCTTAATATGGTGGCCAACTGTAATGCCATCAAGTATATAATTCTTGAATTGGCTACTTTCCGATTTCTCCTAGCATTCGGTATTTTTACAGTACTGACGTATTTGAAAACAGAGACTCGTTGTTTTAAAAATTAATACAGGAAGAGGCCTAAGTGGGAGAAGTTTAGGATGAAAACCTACTGGCAGTGGAGCATAGAGGTGCAGGCTCTTTGTAAATTGCAGGGAATCTTTTTCTCAATTCTTTAATTAGCATTCAGTTCTTTGGGGAGGAAATAAAGCGTCATGCAGAGCCTGTAGTTTGGCACGTTCAGGTTAAGTCTAAACTACTACCTGCTAGTCCCTCCACTAGCACTGCAATCCATCTTTGACAAGATGGGCTGACCAGTAACCAAGGCTCCTAAGCAACCGAGCTCGGAGGACACGTGAAGCTGGTGTCATGCCAAGGCGCCCAGGGCTGGAAGGAAGCTAAGCCGATGAAACCACAGACCTGCTGCGCGGGGCTTCTCGCCTCTGGAGGTTGTCGGATGCGAACAAGCTCTTGCACAAGTTGCTGATGCCCAGAGAAGGGCATTCCCTTAAGTGCATGCATTCAGGCTAACCCACGTACACTCATACACCCCAAATTCAGAACGCTGGGCATATGACACCCCCCTGGTCCCAAGATTCTCCCACTTTGGAGCACTTTCTGCAAAGCAAGCAAGCGCTTCCCTTCTTTTTCCTCATCTTCCAAGTTGCCAAACCTGGGACTGGGTGGTGCGTGGCTGCGACTCCAGCCTTCCCAGTGTTGCCCTGGGACCCTGGGGACTCCGGCTTGCCCAGAAGACGCCCGAGCATCTCGCGCTCTTTCAAAGCTCCTGGCGAGGACAGTGGGGGTCCGAATCCCAGTAAAGAATCAGCAGGCTGCAGGGAGATGGGCTCTTGGGCTGCCAGTGAGTGCCGCAGGGGACAGTACCCGGGGACTCGCGCGCCCTCCCTTTCCCGGGGTGCGCTCACCATTTGTAGCCTCTGCCGCGCTTGAATTTGAGGGTGAGCGCCGTCTCCAGAAAGAGCAAGAGGTTGAGCAGCGCCAGCAGCCAGTACCACGGCTCCTTCTTCACCTCGGTCACTCGCCAGACTCCAACCAGCGAGTGCAGCACGAACAGCAGCCGGGTGGCCAGGGCGTTGAGCAG